GTGATGGTATTATGTATCTAAATATATTTGCCTGATTTGGGAATAACTACATTACTCGGAAATGAAGAAGCCTCCCGTGTGAGCTGCCCAGGTCATCTCAAATGCATTCCAATACAACATTTACACTACACCACGGTATATCTTGATTCTCCCCCATTTGTTATTGTAAAACTTCTTTTAGAAATGGTTTTTAAAGGATCGCTGGTATTAATAATACTTAGCTTTTATACAGCACTTTTCATGCATAGATCTCAGAGCACCATACAAAGGAGATCAGTATTAGTCACCTTTTTATATATGGGGAAACTGAGGCACAGAGCAGGGGCATGACTTGACCAAAGTCAACCAGCAGGCTAGTGGTAGAGCCAGGAACAGAACCCAGGTCTCCTGAGTTTCTGTATGGTGCTCAGCCCCTTGTCTCCCTGTCATTCTTCATAGCTTTCTGCCTCTAAGCCATGCTGTACAGACCTGACAGAGTAGAAAAGGTATAACTGCTATATTTTAGAATCCTTTAAAAATTAGAGTGGGTCCAAAAATGTGTGTGTGGGGCGGGGGGGGATCATGGAACATGTCAAACATTTCAAAGTGATTTTCATTGCACAGGTTTCAAAAAGGAATGATTTTTCATTGATTTGAACTTTTTTTGCAAAGATTTGTCGTGAATATTTTTGGTTTAGAAAGTTGTCTCTTCCTCCTCTTTCCCCTCCTCCCCCCCCCTTTTTTCCTTTCCCCCCACCCCTTTTGCTGCCCTTGTTTTCCATTTTCCATTTTGCCACTGAAAAGGGTCATACGGAGTTTGGATTATGGGCATGTAAATTGCAACATGCATGCGTAGGTGCTGGAAGTAGGGGTACTGCTGGACCCCCTGGCTTGAAGTAGTTTCCATTATGGGCAGGCTTTACAGTTTGGTTCAATGGCTCTCACCCCCTCCCTGTACAAATTGTTCCAGTTCCCCTGCATGCACTAGCATTCTGCGCTGTAACTGTCCTATGTAGGCCCTGCAGGTGCAAACTATAAGGTACCTAGCTTGCACTAATGCAGTCCTTCCAAATGGCATAAAACTCCCATTTCTAGGTGTTTATAACTTTCGTGGTGGTACAGCACAATGGGTGCTGGTGTGTGGCGTAGAAGGTCATGGGTCCTGTTCCAGTGGTATGTGTACGCTGTCAAAATGATAAGTTATGTAAGGTTAAACTTTCCGCTGGGGCAGGGCTGAATATTACCTCTGGTGTGATTTTGTGGGGGAAATAAGGAAACATTTCTCTGGCAGTTGGAATTTTTTAAAAACATCAGCTGAGTAAAGCTAGACACAGGTTGGAGATGCGAGTA